GCGGCCAGTGGGAGCCGCGATCGGCCGGACCTGCGGACGGGGCAGGTAAACAAACTGGCCTGGCCCACCAGGGGCTTTCCCTACACAAGCAGCAACCGCAGTTTGAGAAACACTGCTTAAGTTAATTTGCTTGCCCCAAGTGAGCACGGCATACTCTCCTGTTTGATTTGCAGTTCAGCTGGAAACAGAAAGTTCACATCAGTTTTTTTTTCTTCCGCTCATTGTAGTGGGAGCATAGAGCAGCTATAAGTTTTGGTGGAGAAAGTGGCTTCTATTGTCTTGTATGAGCGAAATCTTTGGCCAGAAAAAAACAAACTATAACATTTTATTTCATTCCAAATTAGTTTGCAAGCCTTTTGTATGCACTTTCAGTGTGCATTGGCTCATTATTCCTCTCCCCATTTTTTTGTTTCTTTTCTTTTAAAAAACAAAACAAAACATTTGAAGCTATTTGTTTGGGAGAAAAAGATCAATCTGACTCCTTTTCCTCAAATGAGTAAATCTGTCGTCTTATACCGTGACACGGAAGCTGCAAAGTAACTTGTTTTCCATTATTGAAAAATTGAGGGTTGGTCAAACCTGTTCCCCTTGGGTTTTCATCATGATATTTGCATGCCCCATTTTGGTTCTCTCTAACAACTGGTTATGATTCCTGAAATTAGTAACCAAGGAATTAGGCCGATCACATTTTATGATCTAGGATAATGACTGGCATATGAAGCTACGTATCTCTAGTGAACAAGTGAACACTGTGCCAAGAAGACATAACTGGAGCAATTAAGATATCTGCGTAGATGCATTGCTGTGAGAAGATAGCAATTCTTTTTTTTAATTAAGTACACACAACTAGGTCAATCACTTTTTATTTTTAGATTTAAGTATATAAAAATGGCCAAGAAGTCCATGAAATTGAAAAGCTTCAAAGGAAAGGAATAAAGTTTTATTTAGCAAGAGATGACTGAATTTAAAGTTTTCAGGAGTCCATTTGATGAAGTGGATATTTACTTGCATAGCGGCCTCATAGAGCTCTTAAACACATTAGGATGAAATTCATCCTAGTGAAGGGGGCCAGGATTATGAGAGACTTCAGCAATGCTGAAGTCTCTCATAAGCCCTAATTGGGGGATTTGTGTGGAGCATGGGCCTTACGCAGGCCTCTACAAAGGAGTGAATTTCACTGTAATGATGAATTAGTTACACTCATCTGTAGGAAGAACCGTGGCACGTGGCTATTTTTTAAGCAAATACAGTGTGTGACTAAATTACTTTTTATCATGTCCAGAACGCAATTTCCTTTTCTTTTGAAATAAAGTGCCCTTACTTCTCATAGACTTTTTCAATGAAAAATGTAAGGTTTGGAAAAGTATCTTGTGAATCTGACTGAAAAAGCATTCTACAATAAGAAAAAGGGTGTACACCTCTGCATCACTTACCGACTTAGTTATCACAGATGCACAGTGGATAATTTTACTATGAGAACTCCAGAATTGCTTATTAACCAACAGCAAAAACTCAGACATATATTGGCAAAAGTGAAACAGTTGAATGAAAGTTTCCTGGGATCTCGGACTCTTTTTGCTTGGATCACATATTACAGCACTTAGGTTTTTTACACATTTTGTCAGAATATTTGACAATGTTACACAAAATGGGATGGAGTTAAAGGAGAGGAACTTTAATTCAGTTTCCTTGCTTTTGTTACTTTGCTTCTGATCTCTACTTTTTCCAAGTCCCCTGGGTCTTAAATGTTCAACACATTTTCTCCAGTTTTGTCATCACTGACTGTTGTAAGGTCTGTGACTTCTCATGTTGTTGTTCTTCTTAATTTACAGTATAAGGATAACTGTGGTTTTCTTACAGAATGCCTATAATGCTGCGCAGCTCCAATTGTGTTCTTACTGGGAAAACTCCAGCAGAGTTTGCCAAACTTAATGAATGCCCTTTAGATCCAGGTACTGTCTTCATCCAATTATTTTTCCTTCTGTGGCTTTAGTGTCTTTTTTCCCTCTCTAAAAGATATTTTTAGAAAAATAATGTATATTGGGAGAAAAATAATCTCATCTGCTTGTATATACTAGTTATTTTCCTAAGAAGATCATTCAGGCTCTAATTATCATAATGGATAGCTACTGAATATACACTAGTAGTTAAAGAAGCAAATAAGCTTTCATGTGTATTTCAAAAGGGATGAGAAACAGTTATGACAATATGGAAAACAGTATGGTCAGACAGGTCCCCTGGCCTCAGAATCCCAACATTTTGAAAGGGTTGAGGTAAGAATGCTGATTTGTGAGGGGAGCGTAAAGATTCAATTTATTAATCCTGGGAATGCTAAGAGGATAAAAGGACATTTTAAAAATGTACAGTATGGTGGAAAAAGAGCAAGTACTTCTGTTCCCCTTCTTCTGTAGAGCAAGACCAAGGCGGAAAGTGGTAAAACTGAAAGTGGGTGGCTTTTTAAAGTTTTGCACCTAAGGGAAGGGTTACTTACCAGTATCTATTGTTCTTCTAGTATATTGTTTCTGCATATCTGTTCTTTCTTGGTGTGGGCATATATATATCCCATGAGTGGGATATACAGAAGCAATCCTCAAAGGAGAGGAAATACTTGTTTACATTGTATAATTAACCTGTGGAATTCACAGCTCAGGAAAGATACTGTACCAAATAGTTCAATAGTTTCTTTAACTGTTTATATGCATGACTAGCATTTATAGCTAGAGTACATAAGCTAGAGACAAATCTAACGCTTCAAGACATAAATTGATGACTTCTTAGAGTAGGAGTGAAATTTTCCTTCACCGATATAATGTTGCATTATTGGCCAGGTGTACTTTTGCTTAAAGGAGCAGTCCAGTGCTCTGATCCAGTGCAGCATCTCCTATGTTTCCCTTATATAAGTAGGGATTTTAAATTAAAATTACTAATGTCAATAACCTGGCTTTACCATAATTTAAAAAAAAAATTGTTAATGGTTCATAAGGAAACCACCAAAAGATAGATATATATCTATCTATATAAATCCAGAGAGCTGGGGAATTACAGGTGTTATCTCTACCTAAGTATTCATATGTCTGCTTGTTAGCAACAGCTGTCAAGATCTTCATAATTTCTTAATTGTCCATACTACTTTTATTTTATTTTTTTTATTAAAGACCGATTTAAATTGGTTGTATTTTTTCATCAGTATGTTGACTTATCTCACTCTTCCTTCCCCTGCTCCTTTCCTGTCATTTATCAAACTGCTTTCAGGAAGTGCCTTTATCATTTCCCTGTTCCATTTTATCACTATGTTCATTTGTTATGATCACAAAACACCTTGGCGTAAAATGCTATACAAGTTGAGGATTGTTCCGAGTCAGATTGATTAGAATACAATAACATGAAGTATAGATTCTTCATTGCTTCAGTTATTACAATGGAACTGAAATGAGTGAAAAAAGGTTAATATAAAATTCATGTTTCACTGGAAAAAATAATTATGGAAACCGAGCTTCTTAATTTGGGGCCATATGTTGTAATTTGCTGAGCACCTCACATGGTCAGTCCTTTTAATCATGATGTCTTAATCAGGTGCTGTTCTGGCAAACAATTTTATTTTTGGTTTAACTTGCAGTACCAACAGTTCAACAACATCCTTTTGATAAATGTTTTCTGTCTCCCTTAGGGTTCTCTTTAGCACCCATCATTATTGCAGATAAGCAGTTTCCAGCAAGATCTTAAGATCCCGAGTAGATCAGCGTAACAAGATTCCAACAAGATCAAATAGTCTTTTCTCTCTCCATAGTTATAAGAGGTTCCCCTTGGGTTAGAAATATATATATATATATATATATATATATATATATATATATATATACACAAAACGTTTTTTATATATAATATATAACGTTTTGTGGGGATGGTGTTTATTCCTCCTCTTTCCCTAATATGTAATTCTCTTTATGCATTTCTGGTAGTTCAATTTTTTAATTTACTTTTGTGTTTATACATTGTAACAATTTTGAAAATATATCCTAAGAGGCGAATAATAGCCAAGGAAGATTAAGTGCAAACCCATTTTTTTTTCTCTGTTTGGTAGGTGGCTATTTCATTGTCAAAGGTGTAGAGAAAGTCATTCTTATTCAAGAGCAGTTATCCAAAAACAGGATCATTGTGGAAGCTGATAGAAAAGGGACAGTTGGCGCTTCTGTTACCAGGTACGGCAAATGCACTGCAATCACTTAAGAGTCTTGTTTATGTCATCACTTGGGAGTTAACTTTCATTTACTTGAATTTCGTGCAAAAAATATTGAAAGCACATTTAGCACCACTCTCCTGCTAACGTAGTTCCCAATAACTTAAAGCCCAGTCCTGAAGTCCACTTGCCCAAAGTTCCCACCAAAGTCAATGGGAGACTTCAGATTTGGCCCTAAGTTAGTGAAGCGAGTTCCAGTTTTTGTTATAGAGCAAATTTCGCTGAGACACTTTTTTTTGCTGTAAAAATACAGAAAACAAGTGCCACTTCTACATTATAGTATTTGACCCAATCTTGCTCCAGTTATCAGTGACAAACTCCAAGTGACAACACTGGAAGATTTCTGTCTTTGGTTTCTAGTAAATGCTGGAAACCTGCCATCCAACCTTGATGCATAAGCATGCTGACCTCTCACCCACATGTCTGTAGGAGGCTTATTCAAGCTCTAGAAGTATAACTTCTTTAGTGCTCATGAGAGTTGTCAGAGTCTGAAACATCATGGAGCCTGAGTCGTATGTTCAGTCATATATCAGGTACAGCATGCATAGTGACACTTTCAGGCCTTCTCTCACTGCCTCACCAATGTGCTTCTGCATGACCTCTTACGACCTCTAAAACTAGGAGGGTAGTTAGGTTCCCATACCCACTCTGACCTCCCTGCTGATGCTGCCAGCAACCAGTTGGGGTGTAATGTTTTATGTTGTGGCTCCCTGCCTTTTTGGTACTGGTCAATTTACTTGGACCACTCAATGGCCATTAGAGTATGGCAGTATTCAGTCACACAAATCTGAAGTGGATTTGAACCGTCTAACTAGTGATGAAACGGCCTGTCCTTTACAAGACCCTTGATCTAGGGCTACCCAATGGCTGCATCTCCGCAGTGGGGTAGGGAAAATGGATGCCATGCTAATTAGAAGACTTATTTACACAAGCTCCATTCAAGGAAAAAGTTAATCTGTTGGTGGTGGGGCGGGGGGCAACTTAATCTTTGGCTAAGTCAGCTTAGTATGGACCCAAAATCTATAGTTGTGTTTTTTGAGGGTTTTGTTTTTGTACCCCACAGATTGTTGAAGATTGCAGATATATTCTTATGGGTTGGGCCTCTTATTCTTAGCCAACCAGCTTTATTTTCTATTTCAGCTTTTGTGTTAATTTTTAACCAAAAACCAGTGCATCCTAAAGCACCTATTGCTGTGTTGTGAGCCACCTTATTTGCTTTATTAGTAGATGCCCCTAGCACTTATCTTTTCCTACTAGAGTACTATTACACAAGCAATCCATGTGAGTCCCAAAAGACTACAACAGGATGCGTGGTTATATCTCACTGCTGAAACTGTAACAGTCCTTGAGCATAGAAAGAGCTAATTGGATCCATGCGTCTGTTTATGTATTATCCACTTATGTTTTGCAATTTTCAATTAATCCTCATCCTGCTAAATTTAAGTCTGATGTTCCCCATCACGAGTAACCGTCTGTTATTTCTGGTCTATGCATCTGTAGCTGTTGTTTAAAATCAATAAAAGGCATTGGAATTTATTGATCTGAGTGAGTGAAATCTTCTTTATAAAGCACTTTAAAATGGTTAGGCAAAGGAATTACCAATGCAAGATGTGTATCAAACATAATACTTTTTTTTTTTAAACTTTAGTTCTACTCATGAGAAGAAGAGCAGAACAAATATGATTGTGAAACAAGGAAGATTTTACCTGAGGCATAACACTCTGTCAGAAGATATTCCCATTGCTATTATATTTAAGGTAATATAACTGTCCATTTACAAAACTTTAGTTCAAGAGCAAAGCTGTGTAGTAGCACTCAAGATTTAATATGGTCTGTAAAGGAATTCTGGACACTAACAGTTTGACAATAACTGGGTTTACAGCATATTATTAGAGAGAGTAGAGTAAAATATAGAGATACGGGGGAAAATGTTCAAACCTTTAATTCTTCCTGCAAAGGCCAAAAGCTGTCCTTGCTATATTTCTTTTGAAGGTAATATATGTACAAGATACAAAATAGAACTATAAAATGTAGATTGCTTAAAGTATTTTGAAAGATCTTTAAGGCATTTTTATTAGCTGAATCAGAGAACTGGTGAACAGCTTAAAGAGTGTTTGATTCAGTAATGGTGAAAGTAACCATGTATGTTTCATAGAATCATAGAAATGTAGGGTTGGAAGGGACCTTGAGAGGTTAACTGGTGCATGCCCCTGCTCTGAGGCAGGACCAAGTATACCTAGACCACCACTGAGAAGTGTTTGTCTAACTTGTTCTTAAAAACCTCTAATGATGGGGATTCCACAACCTCCCTTGGAAACCTATCCCAGTACTTAACTATCCTTATAGTTAGGTTAGATATCGGGGGAACTTTCTAAAATTTCTGTGCTGCAGATTAAGTCAATTGCTTCATGTCCTACCTTCAGTGGACATAGAGAACAATTGACCACTATCCTCTTTAATAGCAGCTTTTAACATATTTGAAGTCCCGTCCCCCCGTCTTATTTTTTCAAGACTAAGTATGCCTGTTTTTTTAACCCTTCCTCATAGGTCCGTTTTTTAAAATCTCTTACCGTTATTGTTGCTCTGCGCTGGACTGTCTTCAATTTCTGTAAAACTTTCCTAAATTATGGTGCCCAAAACTGGACACAGTACTCCAGCTGAGGCCTCACCATTGCTGAGTAGAGCGGGACAGTTACCTCCTGTGTCTTATATATGACACTCCTGTTAATACACCCCAAACTACTAGCTTCTTTTGCAACTGCATCACATTGACTCATATTAAATTTGTGATCCACTATATCCCCCAGATCCTTTTCAGCAGTACTGCCACCTCGTCACTTATTCCCCATTTTGTATATATATGTTTGATTTTTCCTTCCTAAGAAATACTTTGCACTTCTCTTTCTAGAATTTCATTTTGTTAATTTCAGACAAGTTCTTCAATTTGTCAAGATAATTTTGAATTCTCATGCTGTCCTCGGAAGTGCTTACAACCCCTCCCAGCTTGGTGTGATCTCCATATTTTATAAGCATACTCTCCACTCCATTATCCAAGTCATTACTGAAAATGTTGAATAGTACCAGACAGATCCTCTGCTGGACCCCACTTGATATGTCCTCCCTGATAACTACTCTTTGAGTGTGTTTTTTTCCGAAGAGTTATGCACTCACCTTATAGTAATTTCATCTAGACCACATTTCCCTAGTTTGAGAGAACATCATGTAGGACTGTGTCAAAAGCTTTACTAAAATCAAGATGTATCACATCTGCTGCTTCCCAGGTCACAGGGTGCTGCTTCCCAGGTCACAGGGTGCTCCTTCAGCTACACAGTGAGCCGCACTGCCTAGCCTGTTTTCATGGTCTCTGCCACAAACACACAGTCTGTTTCTTTTCCACCATGAGCACCTCTAATCCTCTCTTTCCGAACAGGACAGACCATGGCACGAGTGTACAGCAGGAGGAGCCATTCACACAGTTTTCTGTCCTCCACCCAGCTCACTCTCTGAGCTTCCCCCTGCTTCCTGTTCCTCCCAGTTATATATCCTCCTGATTACTGAGCCAACTCTCTCATTAGCCCCAGCAATTACCACCCAGTGTCAGTAGTTCCCACTAGAAACAGGTTGCGTGGCTCCAATTAAGCCTACAGCCTTCTCTGTGCTGCAGCTACTTCAGTGACCAGACTGCTACAGCTAGCACTGTGTCACACCTGCCTATCTACTAGGCCAGAGACTCTGTCAAAGAAGGAAATTAGGCTGGTTTGGCATAATTTGTTCTTGATAAATCCATGTTGACTATTATCACTGTTATCTTCTAGGTGCTTATAAATTGATTGTTTAATAATGTGTTCCAATAGCTGTCCAGCTATCTAAGTTAGGTTGACTAGGCTGTAATTTCCCAGGTTCTTTGTTCCCCACTTTAAAGATAGGTACTATGTTTAGCTTAGTTCTGTCCATTAATCTTTTCTATTTAGAGCAGTCTTTCTCAGTGTTACTTGCACTGCATCTAGCCAATTCTTATAACCCTGGCTGCATATTCTGTAATGCAGGATTTTGTATTAATGCATCATTTGTATGATCATAGAATGGAGGACCCTTTATAATACATATGTACAGTGGAGCATGACCGGGTTTAGAAAAACCTGCTTGCCCAGGGTAAGTGGGGATTTTTCTCTGGAGAGTGGGCTGAATGAGGCTCCAATGCTACTTGCTCCTTTTCTGACAGCAGATGAGGGGGCAGATCATCCTCCATGCTGCTAGTCCCTTTTGAGGAAGGGAGCAGAGATCCAAGAAGTTGGAACCACTACATCTTTCACAGGAGTGAAGGGGGAAAGGCATTGTGGAGAGTGGCTCATGAGCTGGCAATCTTTTCAGTGCATGGGGTGGGGAGGGGGCAAGAGGAGCAAAGAGCCCAGATAGAGAGGATTAGCTAGGAGGCCCCAGTGCCTTCTACATGATCAGGACTCAGGAAAGCCTGAGGAGCGATGCAGGTAGCAGAAGCAAAGGAGCTAGCTTTGGAAAGAGGTCATTGGGAATACTGAGGGCACTCTGCACTGATCCTTTTCTGACTCTTGTGAAGTTAAGGCCTGATTCTGAGTAAAACTCTCACAGCAACTTCACCTCTGCTCCAGGGCTTATAAAAATTTTCCCAGCACCACCTTGCCCAAATCGTAAGTCTAGTAGCAAACTGGAAAAATCCTGCCACATCATTTCCCCCAAAGCCATGCGTGTTCATTTTCTAGTCACTCATCTTCACTCCCTCCCAATCCAGTCAGTTCTGTCCTCTTCCAATCAGTGCTGTTCTTCTAAATTACAAATCAGGTAATGCTGCCTTCCTACTTTTTTGCTGGGCTCCTCTGTCTCTGCTGCTGCCTTCCTTCCTCAGAATGCAGAAGGTCCTAGGCTTTCCAACTCCTTTCAGTCTGGGCCCTCTTTGAACCTTTACCCTAATAATGGGCCTGGCTTTTCAGAAGTGCTGAGCATCCAGCCTCCAGTTGAAATCAGGAGAACCGTGGGGGGCTCAACATCTTTTAGATCAGGCCCTGGGTATCTTCCACTCCCAGAGCTATCACAGGGAGTTGAAAGCAATTAACATTTCTCAGGAGGTCCTCTGTACCTTGGCAGATTGAGGTCTTTAATAATGTTTAGGGTTAACATTTTAAGATAGCTTGCTTTTTCTTGCATCTTATTCCATATGATTTTCTTTCTCTGTAAATCAGTTCTACCTTAATTTTTTTACTTGCTCAGAGTTCCATTTTTCTCATATACTTCCAAAGCTCACCAACATCTTAATGTATGTGATGGCTTCAATCAATCCCTTTCATAATTTTGAAGAGCCCTACCCTGATTAGGAAATTGTAAAGTCCATTTTCATGCCAATGAAATCCTTACTATAGTCAGTGAAAATGTAAATGATGCAACGACAACAAAATCACTTACATAAATCAAAAATAAATTTCCAGAAGAGGGCAGCACCTGCTTATAACATCAGAACAGTCCTCTCAGAGATGGCTATATGACCGTTTTAGTAGGCAGCTTTAGAATTTTGGTAATATGTGGGGGAGCAGTTTGATTGGGTTTTGTTTTTGCAGATGGAAACTAGCTGAATAATATTTAGATTCAGTCTTGAGAAACCAATCCAAAGTATCTTATCTTTGATTATGCAGATCTCTTCAAAAACTTGAGCAATATTGTCTGTTTTAGCAACCAGTGTTAAAGGGGATTAAGAAATGATTGGTGGGTAGAAATGCACTGTAAAAGTGTCGGAAGCAATGGGCTCACAATTCCTTTTATTCTAGAAAATCAGATTAATGTTAATGTGCCTATGCAAGTCTTGATCTGACTGCCCAAGTCGTAAGAAGTTAGATTTTGTCTTAGTTCAACTTTGTAAATAATCAGTTTCTTGTCACCCAGTGGTATGTCCAAATGTCCAGATACACAGAGGTATTCAACTACACCCTGCTGTTAGTGGTAGAAAATCTTTTTTTTACAATGTGGTAATGACACCTCAATCAAATCCTGGCAACGTTCCTCATCATGCATCACTGATATCCCTCCCCACCTACTCTTCTTGTAAATCTTACGTGAACATTTTTTTACACCGTGTTGCAGGTGTATCAGGTAGTCACAACTGTTCTCTGCAGTGCGGTTAGCAATGCATTTTATAAACTAGTTTAGAGATTTCTATTGATATGCCTAAATAAACAATTATCTGTGTATACTTAATAATCCTGAATGTAGCAACTTCGTTCTCCTACTCCGTGATAGTGCTTTCCATACCTTTGCAATATCCTTTCTATGAAATATTAAATTAAGGTCCTTCTCACCACATCTGGTGATGATACAAGTGGAACTTAAGGACCCCATGGGACTCTTTATTAAGAGGGAATCTTGGCCAGGGCATCAGCTCTTTCCCCTTCTCTTGTTGAAAACAATTTATTTTGTCCCATGATGTGAGAGAGCTATTGTTGAGTGCATAATGGCTGTGCTGTTTTCCTACCAGTATTTTATTTGTTACTTTTAAAATGATTTGGGAGATCCGAGGTATGAATGGCACTATATAAACCATATTCTGGTTTATAAATGTTTTAAGTATATGGATAGGAGGTAAGAAAATAAAATACTTAGTTTTTGTGTTTCAGAGCAAACTGTTTTCCTTTGCAATACTTACTGCTCCTGGCTAACCAGGATGTCCGTTGATTTAGTCACTTGAGCTAGCAACCTCTGATTGTATCAAAACTTTCTAATCAGTTAAGTTCATCTACCAAATATATAAAACATTTAGTTCGTTTGGAGGAGAGTAACATCAATAGTTTTCGGCCTGCAAAGATTTCCTCATTTTCAAGATGCCACTTTATCAATGGTTATAATCTTAGAAAAACTCTTGAGGGACTAGAGAAAAATATATAGCATATGGAATCTTGTCTCTGGTTTTTGTTTCCATAGTTGGATTATTTGATTTAACTTCATGAAAATATGCCCAACAGTCTTGCTATTACTTAGAAGATCCTTTTCAGCAAGGAGCTAAGTGTGCCATGAAAGTGGTAGAGTATGCATGGGTGTATTTTGTTGTTGAGGATGCTATGTAATGTGTGTTTATTTACACTATCAAAATAGCAAAGGGCTGTGTGTTTGAGACCCCCTGATTTAGAGGTTAGAATGTTGTACTTGTAGTCAGGAGTCCTGGATTTTATGCTCTGCCACTGACACACTGCATCCTTTGGGCAAGTCATTGAACTATTTTGCCTCAGTTTCCCCACCTGGAAGACCACTGTGCTAATGCCCCACAGCAGTTTGAGGTTTAATACTTATGCAAACAAATCTTTTATTTAAAATAAGAGACATGGAACTAACATGACATATGCCTGCTGAGGCTAGAACTCATGGTATCTTCCAGACTTTCAGGCCAAAAGGTTTTTTTGGCTGCATTGCCTGCATACCATACGGAGCCATTCGGGGAGTTTCATAGGAGTTGGTGCAATTTGGAAATTTTAGCAGCAAGCTGTACTGAGCATGTGGGAATGTTAATTTTCCTAGGGTTTATAATTTGACCAAAGCTTAGCTGGCTGGATTTTGACAGTGACAGTAAGAGACTATTCTCCTCCTCCTTTCCCCCTCTTTCATCATCACCAAATGTCAAGTCTTTGCTCCACGAGATGGAGGCAATAGATCACTTACAATAAATGATTGGAAGACCTTCTTTTTTTTTTTTTTTTTTAATATAAACAGAGGGGAAAATAGGTACTTTTGACTAACTTCATTCTTGGCAATGGCATGTTTGCTGAAACTTTCATGAAGATAATACATCTCTTTGCAACCTGAGGCCAACACCTGGCATGGAAAAATTTAGTCCAAACAGTAAATATTTGTCAGTTCTAAGTAACTGAAGAGTGCTTTATAATGGAAAGTGTTGGGCAACCTTAACTATAGACATCACTAACAGCTCCATCTAAAAGATCTGAAAGCAATATTTATACGTATGTGTGTAATAACTAAAAACAGCCTTCTAAGAAATTTCCTTAGTTCAGATTTCAAACAAAAAAACACTTGTTTTAGCTTAATAAATTTCACTTGTGTGCTGGTTACACATCAGTGGCAAGTCGATTTTGTATGTATTTTTGTTTTTTCCCCCTAGAGACTATTGCTTTCTTACTCTGTGGTCAGATATAGATCTGGGTGAGTGACTTGGAAGTTGAAATAATGGAAGATCATACACTGTCCCAAAACTATTGGTGTAAAGGAACTTTAAAGTCAGTTTTTAGTACCAAAGATAATTTAGTAAAACATCTTTATGCTGAAACCTTTCTAATTGCTGCATGTATTGAAGCCTATGAATAGCACACTCTGGGATCTGCAAAGAAAGAATTGAACAGGGTTTCCCGTTGTCTCATTAAGAAGTGCTGTTAACTTTGTAATAATTTGGAGCTTGTAATATGAAATCTTAAAGAAGCAGATTAATATCTCCCTCACTGTGGATCTGCTGGATTTATGGATTCCCACATCTCTAATTTCATAGCACTCATCTCTGAACTGTGAAAGCCACAAACTTATTCTACCTGTGATGGGGTCAACCTCTAACTTTCTCTGACATCTTTTAATCCAGTCACCTGCCAGTCTCCATTCTCTAATTTAACCTAAAAGATTACAGAACTGCATTCTAGGGAACTGCCATGGCAACCACTAGACATCATCATTAAGATGTGGGCGGGGGGAGGAAGAGCTGGGCTTCCCAGGACTGGGGCTAGCCTCCAGAAGCAGAGGTGCACTCTTACACACACGCTTCTCTAGGCAGCAGCAACTTCCACAGTCCCTGGACACCAGTGGGGCTGGCAGACTGCATTCTACAGTATGAACTCTGGACATTCGTGTGTGTGTGTGTGTGTGTGTGTGTGTGTGTGTGTGTGTGTGTGCGCTTCAATCCAGCTTTCTACTAAACTCCCAAGTCCTACTGGTCCCAACCTCACTCTCTCAGCCTGGCACTCTCCTCAACAACCTGCCTTCCTTTCCTTCCTCCTCCTTACTTCTCTGCCCATATTAAACTATCCCTTCCTGAGATTTCCCTTTTCCCCCACCTCTGTCCCATAATATAACCCCCAGTGGCACTTCCCCCAAAAAGAACTAAGAAGACCTATGCAAATCTATTCCATGACCACTTTGCTTTTATATTTCTTTCCCCTAGCCTTTCTTTTTAAACCATGGACACCGTTCCAATAGGTCTGTACAATACCCAGCATGTTCTGAGTGTTACTATAATATGAATAATAGTAATGAGATGTCTTGGGGCTTCCGGATCCCAGCTGTGTTACAAGCTAACCACCCTGATTCTGCAGTGCATTGTGCATGGGCAGATGCAGCATTAGGGTGCAAAATACTGAAGGAAAAAAAAAAAAAAGCATTAAGGTAGACATGAATAATCAAACTGCTAAACACACCAAATAAAAATATAAACAAATGTTTCATTTGCATGTCCTATTAGTGTTGCATTCATATTGGCTTATATGCATAGCTAAATCCATTATACTGTGCAACACCGTGTATAGTATGAAGTAACAAGTCATGACATTTTGATACTGATTTAATTAAACTATTCCAGCAGCAGTCACCCTCAGTTTTGTTAGCCCAGTTAGCAGGAAATTCACAGTTCACTTTTTTCATTAAGACATTCTGTCCGCCTTGCTTTACAAGTGTTTGAACAATTTTAATCACATTTTAAATCTTTATCAATTAAGCAACCAGCAACAACTTAAATTGCAAAATGCATAAATAGTCATCAAGAACCTGTTCTTTCATCTTTATGTAGAAGCCTTTATCCATGATGTACAAATGTATGATTAATAATTAAATATAAAGAGTAGGTAAAATAAAGACTTGGATGAAGATCTTAATTGGGAATCGATAGAGGACTGGGTAGATTTACTTGTAGATTGTTATAATAGTATCCTGGTGGGACTGCAGAAGTGTGATGTGTGCGCTACACCAAACCTACAACATATATTGAAACTGGAGCATACATACAGCATTACAGAGGTGTTGCTTTGAGACCTCATCAAGACACATGGGTGGGTTATTTTTTATTTTATTTTTTTTTACTTTAAGCATTTCCAACATTTGTACCCTTTAAAAACGGTGTCAAACACCTGACAAAGGGGCCGACAAATGTATTGCAGCAGGCAAGGCACTAGTTGGATGTTAAAAACAAAATAACACCCAGCAAAGACCATTTGAAGGAAGGTACTCATGTATTTTAAAGAAAATGTGACTCTTTGGTACATTCTCAATATTTATTGAGAGTCGGTGTATAGGGTATACCTCCTAGGCCAATATGTACAATGGTCTTTGTTGTGCACAGCTTAAGGAAGAATATGAATGCAAAATGTAACTTTGCTCCCAACTTCTGAGAAGCATATTATTACTCCGCCAAAAGAGGTTTAGTGAGATTATTCCCTGTTTCTTGATATGGCAGAATTCCAGACAAATGTGTGAAGGGAAAAGCTTTAGCACCATCTGGAATCCACAAAGGCCTGCACTGCTGGCTGCCACCTTGAAACACTTATTTATAGAGAGATTTTTCTAAACCTGTTAAGCGCTTTCTTAGTTTATTAAGCTTTTTCCACAGTATAAAGTATAACAAGGTGTCTAAGGATCAGTGAAATAATAGAATGGCTTTCAAGTGGGATTCTGTAGTGAAGTCATCTTCTAAATGCAAATAGCTGCAAAGATGGTACATTGCAAAAGTTACTTACATAGAATATGCTGTAACATTAAGTTTGCAGAACTGTTTGGAGTAGGGGGCCTATGTGTGATCTCTTAGATAATTTCACCCTCCCTTATTGTAGCTCTTGAATAGGCTTTCTCTGATAGTTTATAAGGCTACTGGTAGCCAGTTTTTATTTTTATTAAGAAATTATATTAAATTTAAACTTGTGCAAATAAGGAACAGCTCACACACAAGTGAAAGGCACTCTAGAGCATTTGTTTTCCTGCTGCTTATCAAAATTACCATTTCAGGTTCTTCCAGAGCTTGAGTATGGGCTGCCAATGCCAGATGGCACGGTTTCTGAGAGAAGAAGTAGCTTTTGCTTAGAAGTAATACTGACAAACAATACCAAATTAGCATAAGCAAATGTCAGTGAGTTAACATAAAGCCAGCACTATTTCTGTCTTTTCTTCCTTTCCTAGGCCATGGGTGTTGAGAGTGACCAAGAGATTGTGCAGATGATTGGTACAGAAGAGCACGTGATGGCTGCATTTGGTCCCAGTTTGGAAGAATGCCAAAAAGCTCAGATTTTTACACAGATGCAGGTGTGTCTTTTCATATGGCTATGGGCAGTGAAATCTAAAGATGATGGCTATTTATTTTGCCATTGGTACATGGGTTGTTGACAAAACAGTTTCATGGCTTTTTGTTATTTTTGTTTACTTTTGGTTTTGGGCCATACATGTCACAAGAAAATTTCTGCTCTAATTGTCTGAGGAGAGGAGAAGAAACGAAGCCAAGACACATCTATTTGTGCTCAGACATGAAGTAGCCCATGTTTAGTGTATGTGGCGGGTAGTGAAGTCTATAATCTGAGTGAACTGGATTTTTGTTGAAGGCTTCACATTTTTTTAAAGTTGGTCACGCCACAGACGGGAACCTTCCACATGAGTGTGCGAGTGCTTTCATTGTGCATGAACTCTACTGCAATTCTAATCCTTTGCATAAAGCCAGTAATAATAGCCACCAGTTAAGGATGGGCCATAATTCTCTTCGGTCTGAACAGCTTAATTAGCTGGAATAGAGGCCATACTGCTGTATCTGTTTTATCGTGTACTTATTGATCTGTTAAAACCAAGCTGCAAAAACTTAGTTTATCTGTGGTATTGCATTATAAAAATGATGAAATCTTTCCATAATTAATCTTGAGTTTATTAAACTGGATCTCTTGTTTTCTATTTTTCATCCTTTTGGATTTGTCACAGTTAGGACCGGCATAGAAACTCTTTTAAGTAGGGGTGTGAAATAATAAAACAGGGGAGACTGCAGGGGGAACATGGAGACATGGAAACATGTCCTGAAATTGTTTTAGAACTTGGCTGAGCAAAAACAAAACCCTATAAAGAAAACATTCCATGCAAGAAATACCAAATGGAATGAAGATACATTGAGTAGAGAGGCCATGAAATCTGGGGAAGAAGGTGGCTGGACAGCATAGGAAGGATGGTCTAATGGATAGGGTACTGGTCTGGGACTTGAGACCTGGGTTCAGTTCCTGGCTTTGCCGTGACGCCTTGTGTGGTTTTGAGTAAATCACTCAATCTGCCCTGTGCCCAAGTTCTGTAAAAATGGGGGTGATAGCGCTCTTCTTACGGGGGCGGTGTGAGGATAAAATCCATGACTGGATTAGCAGGTGCTTTTCCACTATGGTAATAAAAGCCGTGTATACCTAAATAGATGTGGTTACTACAGGAAAGGAAATAAATCTTACTTGTAATTTTCTCTGGATACATGCAATTCTTATGTTAACCTGGATGAAACTGACAGACTAGACAGAAGGAGTTGGGGATGAAAAGTGAACTGGAGGGAATGAATGTCTTTGGCATGTGG